TGCCGTAAAGATGTTTTTACGGCATACAATGCATGCCGTAAAAAGTACATTTTGTTGTAGTGCAACAACAAGAGAAACTTTGGAGAACCGAATTCACTATTGGTTCTTAAGACAGAACCAAGAATCGAACCAAAATCGATCGTTTCTAAATGCATGGTCCTAAAACCGATCCATTTAATAAAGGAACCGAAACCGAACCGGCCTCTTCTATCCGATTCTGGTCCGATTCCACTAATTTTGGGAAAAAACTCCCACCTCTAATTATAACAATAAAAAGATCTCCACTACATTAGGGAAAATTATGATCGTGTCCTCGATCTTTGAAGTAGTGTGAAATTATAACCTCAACCTCCAAAAGTGACATATTAACCCTTAACCTTTTCAAAATTGTGAAATTGAGCCCCCATGTGATAGGTACTGATAATATGAATATTATAATTGCAAGGAAAACCATCAAATGGCAAATATTTCTCAAATTTTAACGTGAAACTCGTGCAATTTCAAAATTTTCATTTATTGTCACTAAAACTTAATTTACATAACTAAACATGCTAACGAGTTAAAATCTTACCTTTAAATATTAGGAGGCTGTTTCACACTAACTGAAAGGTTGGGATTTGGCTATATTTTTTCCAAAATTTTTGTGTTTACATTTTGGTCTAAATTTTATTCATATTGAAGAAGTCACAATTTGGTCTAAATTTTATTCATATTGAAGAAGTCACAAAAATCCCAGTTGCCTCTGGTTAGCTGAATTCTTCACTAAAGAAGAACAATTTCAATTTTATTACATGTACATCTTTCTTTATACCTTCACACCACCTTTCACATTTCACATATTTAATTCATCCATCACTCATCTACTGCATCATTCATCTGTAAAGCAAGTAGTAAAGGAGGCAGTACAAATGACCTAACTCATATCCTTGCGGTATTAATTTAATTTGTTACATTAATTTATTAAATTTAGTTTTTAAAATTACATAAAAATAAAAAAAACTTGTATTTGCAATCAAACATGCTCGCTACTGAAAAATAAACTTAAAATAAATAAATTATAAAGTCCAA